AAGGAAGGCGGGGTAGGGGTCGGCCTAGGAAAGGTTGGAGGGAGGGGGTAAAGGAGGTTTTGTGTGCGAGGGGCTTGGACTTCCAGCAGGCATGCGTGAGCGTGTGTGATAGGAGTGAATGGAGACAAATGGTTTTTAATACTTGACGTGCTGTTGGAGTGTGAGCAAAGTAACATTTATGAAGGGGTTCAGGGAAACTGGCAGGCCGGACATGAGTTCTGGAGATGGGAAGTACAGTGCCTGCACTCTGAAGGAGGGGTGTTAATGTTGCAGTTTAAAAACTGTAGTGTAAAGCACCCTTCTGGCAAGACAGTGATGGAGTGAATGATGGTGAAAGTGTTTCTTTTTCGGGCCACCCTGCCTTGGTGGGAATCGGCCAGTGTGATAATAAAATAATAAAACTAATAAGATGTTATCTTCATTGTAGAATAATAAGAAAATATTATAACCTTTATATTATAATAATAAGGTAAAAGGACCCCAATGGAAATAAGTCACTGTGTCTGACTTTTTTGGGTTATCCTAGGTTCTCTACACATATGCTGCTATGTATGATAATTCTATGTAACTGTATTTGTGTATACCTGAATAAACTTACTTACCAGTCCACTAACACCCGGGTACCCCTTTACTGATGGGTGAACATAGACAACAGGTGTAAAGAAACACGCCCAGTGTTTCTACCCTGGCTGGGAATCGAATATTTACCAAAAATCATATATGGCAAGCCCAAGCCAGGTACTAGAAATAAGCCACTTTGTCTGACTTTTTTGGGTTATCCTAAGTTCTCTATACATATACTGCTATGTATGATAATCTGTTTAGAGAATATAGCTTTTTTGTTTCAGTTTTGTGGTGCAGTACGAGCGAATATCAGTTAGCCTTGTGCTATACTCTGTTTTCTCTTATATGAGCTCCCAAGACAGGGATAGGAGAATGGTACATGTACAGTACATCCACACTTACTACTGTGCAATCTACATCTACAGGACCTTAAACTCCAATATCAACCTTGACCTAAAACGCTTTCTTGATAGTTGTGACAGAACCCACAGGCATAACACCAGACACAAACATCTCTACGACATTCCCCGTGTCCGACTAAACCTTCACAAAAATTCAATGTATGTCAAAGGCCCTAAAATCTGGAACACCCTACCTGAGAACTCTAGAACTGCAGACACATTCATCACCTTCAAAACTACCATTAGAAAACATCTTATCTCCCTGATACACCCCATCAACTAACTACACGAATACCACCTGGTGGTTCACACTTACACTCACTCACCCATTTGACCATAAACAGAAATATTAATCTCAATCTTAAAATAATGAATCCTATGATACTCCAATACTGAAACTATGTACTGTGCCAAAACAAAAGCGTTCACATTGCTAAACTCACAAACTAGTATTTAGTCACTTAGCCATAATACCAACTTACCTCATAATTTGTAATATTTTAAAATAAAGAATTAAACTAAGTCTGCCCGAAATGCCTAGCCATGCTAGGTGTTCTAGTGGTACACTCTGTAATCATTATTTAACTACATGTAAACCACACAATAACCAAATTCTGTAAATTCAACATTGTAATCCTTATAGAGAATAAACTTTGAATTTGAATTAATCCGTTCCTGAGAGCTCATCGTATGCGAAAATTATCGTGAGGTGAATTAATTTTCCCCATAAGAAATAATGGAAATCAAATTAATCCATGCAAGACACCCAAAAGTATGAAAATATTAAGTTTAATGCACACAGACTGAAGAAGACATGCACTGTTAGTAGTACTCTACTAACAATAGAATACATGACACTTACCTTTAATGAAGATCTTTCATAGGCTTATGTCCTGGGAGTGCCTTTTCCTCCTGAGTAATGTAGGTCCTGCTTGGCTATTTCTTCCAAAACAGGCCTGTTTCGTCGCAATTAAACACTTGTTCAGGTTTAAATTCTTCACTGTCTATGTAATCCTTGAATTCCTTCACATATTTTTCAGCTGCTTTTTGGTCTGAACTGGCATCCTCACCATGCCTAATCACACTGTATACCACTACGATTCTTAAATCTTTCAAACCAACCTTTGCTGGCCTTAAATTCTTGGGGCCCATGGTGACTTATTTTGCAGAAACAAGCACCAAAAGCACTGTGATAATATGGAATGTACCGAATGTATGCTTAGATGCAAGCACACTGGCTGGCTTGTAAATGCTGGCACGCACGGGGACGCGTCCCAGACGAATCGCATGTGGCAGGTTTTATAACGAGTGGCGAGGCAAAATTTTTGCATTAAAATGTATCGTATACCGGATTTAACGTATACCGATGCCATTGAATGCCAGGGTTCCACTGTACTTGTATCCCCATATCCTCTTCGTACCTCTGTCGAACAGCTCAGTATTATGCCAAATACGTATTAATTCTGGAGTACAGTGGACCCTCGGTTATCGGCCGTTCTGCTTATCAACTGGTTTTTTGGCTTCCAGTTATTGGCTGTCATTTCGCTTATCGGCCGTATTGGACGTGTCCACCTGCCAGCTGCTCGCTTGTTCGTCAGTCAATCTGGCTATGTCTCTGGGTGAGTGAGGACACTTCTGTTCATTCATCCAAACATCAAGGAAGCTAATGTTGTGAAAGGGAGTTTAGCAGGGAGGCAGGAAGTGTAGTAGGCAGGCAGGGAGTGTAGCAGGGAGGCAGGACCCCAATGGAAATAAGTTACTGTCTGACTTTTTTGGGTTATCCTAGGTTCTGTACACACATGCTGTGGAAGGGAGGCAGGGAGTGTAGTGGGGAGGCAGGAAGTGTAGTATGGAGGGAGGGAGTGTAGCAGGGAAACAGGGAGTGTGGAAGGGAGGCAGGGAGTGTGGAAGGGAGGCAGGGAGTGTAGCAGGCAGGCAGGGAGGGAGTGTAGCATGCAGGCAGGGAGGGAGTGTAGCAGGCAGGCAGGCAGGCAGGCAGGGAGTATAGCAGATAGGCAGGAGGCAGGCAGGCAGGGAGTATAGCAGATAGGCAGGCAGGAGGCAGGCAGGCAGGCAGGCAGGCAGGCAGGCAGGCAGGCAGGGAGTATAGCAGATAGGCAGGCAGGGTAGTGGGGAGGCAAGAAGTGTAGCATGGAGGCAGGGAGTATAGCAGAGAGGGAGTGTAGCAGGCAGGCAGGCAGGCAGGGAGGGAGGGAGTGTAGTGGGGAGGCAGGGAGTGTAGGAGGAAGGCAGGGAGTGTAGGAGGAAGGCAGGGAGTGTAGGAGGAAGGCAGGGAGTGTAGGAGGAAGGCAGGGAGTGTAGGAGGAAGGCAGGGAGTGTAGCAGGGAAACAGGAAGTGTAGCAGGCTGGCAGGGAAGTAACCCCAGAGTGGGCTTTGATACCTGAAGTCCTTATGGAGGGGGATTCCCCTTCCGAACAATAATCAGTCCTCCCTCTCTCCTCCTCCCTGTCTTCCATAAGCCAACAAAAGTCTTCAATAAAGGTATGTAATAGTGATTTAAATGTTCATTTATTTTATTTAGTTCTCATTGTATTGTATGTGTAAAACTATAATTAATCTTTAAAAAAATGTATTTTTTGTTAATATTTTTGGGTGTCTGGAACGGATTAATTGTATTTACATTAATTCTTATGGGAAACATTATTTAGGTTGTGGGCCATTTCGGTTTTAGGCCAACCTTCTGGAACGGATTACGACCAATAACTGAGGGTCCACTGTATACGTATAGTATAACATATTTTTGTTATTTATATTGTTTATTATATCATAATAGATCAATTGTGATAGGTAAATAAGCCGTAGTGTTGGTATTAGCGTAATAATAAAGCATATTCTCCTGCATCAGGAGACTGAGCTCGTGGCAACTGACAGTGGCTTCAAAGCCACCTTATCTTTTATGGACAATGTACTGTGTATGTGCTTTACACAACGAGAAGCACTTCTTTTATTAGTTGGAACCATGGCTAGGGCTGAAAGTAAGCAGGTTATAACAATAAATGGAGAAAAAGGAAATTAGAATGACTTGTGCAGCAAGTAGCACCACCAAAGAGTACAGCAGGTTGGTGTGGCGACCCTGGAAATTTGAAATTATGCTAGCCGAAATTAGTGCCGAATAACTGATGGAACCGGGTAACTGATTGCCGGATTTGTGATGGCGGACCTGTACTTATTTTACATGATGGTAGGATTGCTGGTATCTTTCCTCCGTCTCGTAAGCATGCAAGATTTCGAGTACGTCTTGCTACCTCTACTTACACTTAGGTCATACTACACATACATATACATGTACAAGCATAGATATATATGCACAGCCCTCTGGGTTTTCTTCTATTTTCTTACTAGTTCTTGTTATTGTTTATTTTCTCTTATCTCCATGTTTATTTCCTCTTATCTCCATGGGGAAGTGGAACAGAATTCTCCCTCAATAAGCCATGCCTGTTTTAAGAGGCGACTAAAATGCCGGGAGCAAGGGGCTAGTAATCCCTTCTCCTGTATAAGTTATTAAATTTAAAAAAGGAAACTTTTGTTTCTCTTTTTGGGCCACCCTGCCTCGGTGGGATATGGCCGGTTTGTTGAAATACAAATACAAATATTTATTTCCTTGTAAAGCTTACAATGTGTGGTTTACATATTACAAGATTTTAAATACAAAGACGACCACTATTGTGCCACTATTGAGTCCTTTGGGTGGGTGTAGGTGGAAATTATGGGGGAATTACAGATAACTATAAGTCTATATTGTTTTGGATGTGTTCATGATAGAAAGATTTTAATACATGAATATATAATGTGCAATTAGACAAAATAGGTATCAAAGGTTAGAGAGGTAAGAGGTAAGGGACTTTCTATCATAATTAAAATATTCATTCTAATAAAATATTAAAATGTTAATTTGTATTCATGCCAAAATACTCTTGTGTATTGAATATACAGTGTTGTATAATTCAAATAATGTTGAAAATATGCGATAGTCCTATACTCACAATAAGAACACACACACATTTCCTTTGCAGTGGTAAACATGGAAGATCGCATTGGTAATTTTGAAATTGGTAAAGAGTTTGATTCACTTTTGATCGACTTCGAGGTTCCTAGGTCACCTCTGGACATCTTTGACAAGGTAATGAAAGCCTATATACTATATATATTATTGTTACATACATTGTACAACTGAAAAAGTATTACAGGTAGTACATATTGCATGACTTCTATATATACTGTAATAGATTTCTTTAAGAATATTTTACATTAAAATAGTGTTTTATATACATATTAACACTGCCAGTTTTATAAAAAAAATAGTATATGGTTAATTTTATTGGTTACTAAATGGTAAGGGAGTAAAAAATTAGCACATGGTTTTTTTTTTTTTTTTTTTTTTTTTTTCATGATCATGATACAGAAGACTTCCTCATCTCACAGTGAAATAGCCTGTTGAGCAAATGAACTCGGTTAAAACTGGAAGGAAGATGTTAAATGGAGGTGGAGGTACTGGAAAGATGGAGAGAATACTTTGATGAGTTGCAGAATGTTTGTGATAAAGAGGCAGTAATTTCATGCATGGAGCAAGGAGGGAAGCTTTGTATATGAGTGAGGAAGAGCCTGAGGTGATTGTAAGGAAAGTGAGGCACAGGGCAGAATGACGGGGTAAATCAGTTGGGATGAACGAGATTATGACGCATGTTAAAAGCAGATGGGATAGTGTTGGAGTGGTTGGCATGTTTAACATGCATGAAGGAAAAGAAGATACCAAAGGATTGGTAGAGATCATGCGTTGTTCCCTTGTATAAAGTAAAAGGGGACAGAGAATGGAAGAATTATAGGGAGTTGCACCTGTTGAACGTACAGTAGGGCTCCAGCTTAAGACATTAATACATTCTTGAAAATTCATCTTTAGCAGATTATTCAGCACTCGGGACCTATTTTCCCATAAGAAATAATGTCAGGTGGAAATAATGTGTTCTTGAATTCTAATTCTCAATCTAATTTGTCAATTTTTTCCCCTCGTGATTTTTTTTGCCCAATCTTTTACCTTCAGTATGCTTTTTATATTGCACATACATCATCTCAAAGGCTATAGATTTTCTTTTCTTTGGCACTTGAGAATCACCACCACTACTCGTGCACTTTCCATTCATGATGTACAATAGTTTTTCAAGGTAGATTCTCAAAATATATACAGACATGGAGGCAAGAGTAAACAAAGCCTTGTTAAATGTTTACTTCCAAAGAGTCGCTCATCTGCACAGAGATGCTGACCACAAATGATGTAGTTGAAGTTCTAACAGTAAGGATCAAGAACCAAAACCTAGTCATCGTGGTTGTATATAAGCCACCAGATGCAACCTCCCAACAGTTCAAGGAACAGCTACTGAAAATTTATTACTGTCTGGAAAGTCTTCAAGATCCATCCCCAAACATCTAATTGCTTGGTGATTTCAACCTTAAGACATACAGAATGGAAGAATGTAGCAAATAATGTTATAGCAGAAACATTCCCTGGAGGCAGTGCAGATGAAAGGTCACACACATGAGCTACTTAATCTCTGCGATAAACACACCCTAAGTCAGCAGGTAGTGGAGCCAGCAAGACTGGAAAACACACTTGACCTTATCTTCACAAATAATGAGGACCTGTTAAGAAACATGACACAAAACAAGACTAATTCCGATCACAATCTAATTGAAGTTCAGACTTGCATGCACAGGAGTCCTGATCAGCAAAATGCATGTAGCTATGAAGGTGTCTTCACCAAATACAACTTCAACAACATATCAACTTGGACTAGGTAAACCATGTCTTAAATGAAACCTATTGGGAAGATATCCTAAATAACATGGATGCAAACCAGTGCCCTGAAAGGATCAACTTCCTGGCAGCTGAAGCATGTTCAAGACATATTTCCCTAAGTAAGAAGAAGTAAACTGGAGAGAGAAAGACTTTTCATGTGCCAAAAACAAGGCAAATACGACATCTAGTATTGGGCCCTTGCTCAAACAAGATGGGACTTACACAGATGACGACAAAGAAATGAGTGAGATACTGAAATCCCAGTGTGACTGTGTTTAGCGAGCCACTAATCAGTCTAAAGATCGACAGTCCAAATGATTTTTTCATGAATGAGCCTCAAAACTCCATCAGTGTATGCCAGATTTCTGACATTACCTGAACTCTGATAGGCTTTGAGAAAGCCATTGACAACATGCCCATACACTCAGCCCCAGGCCCAGACTTCTGGAACTCTGTGTTCATTAAGAACTGCAAGAAACCTCTTTCGTGTGCCCTAAATATACTATGAAGAAGGAGCTTAGACATGGGTGAAATTCCAGTCACTAAAAACAATGGATATAGCCCCACTCCATAAAGGTGGCCGCAAAGCATTAGCTAAGAACTATAGACCAATAGCTTTAATGTCCCACATCATAAAAATCTTTGAGAGTGCTAAGAAGCATGATTGAAGACCACTTGGATTCCCAAAAACTGCACAATCCAGGGCAACGTGGGTTCATAGCAGGTCACTCCTGCCTCTCGCAATTACTGGACCACTATGATGTGGCCTTTGATGCACTGGAAGAAAAACAGAATGCAGATGTAAAAAATACAGACTTTGCAAAAGCCTTTGACAAGTGTGATCATGGCATAATAATGCACAAAATATGTGCTGAAGGAATAACTGGCAAAGTAGGGAGATGGATCTTCAACTTTCTAACCAATTGAACACAGAGTTAAATTGGAAGCTGTCAGTCAAAAGCTCTGTTCCACAAGGCACAGTACACCCCTCTATCCTGTTCCTCAGCCTCATATCAGATATAGACAGAGATGTAATTCACAGCACCATGCATCCTTTGCAGACAATACTAGGATCTGCATGAGACTGTTGTCTATTGAGGACATAAACCAAATTGCCGAATGGCCAATGGAAAAAAATATGATGTTCAATAAGGACAAATTCCAGCTACTCTGTTGTGAAAAACTGGAGGAGATAATAACTAGAACTGAATATACCACAAACTCTGATCATATAATAGTGAAAAAATAACGTGAGGGACCTGGAAGTGGTAATGTCTGAGGATCTCTTTTAAGGATCACAACAGTGCCATGATCACAACTGCAAAGAAAATGATATGATGGATAATGAGAATGTTCAAAACAAGAGATTTCAAGCCAATGATCCTTTTCAAATCACTTGTTCTCTCTAGGCTGGAATATTGCTGTGCATTAATATCTCCTTTCAAAACAGGTGAAATTGCAGATTTAGAGAGTGTACAGAGAACCTTTACTGCACATATAAGTTCTATCAAACTCCGCAACTACTGGGAATGCTTGGAAACATTGACTTGTACTTGCTGGAATGCAGGCGAGAGATGTATCATAATCTAAATGGAAAATCCTAGAAGGAATGGTCCCAAATCTGCACACACAAATTACTCCTTGTGATAGTAAGACTGGGCAGGTGGTGCAAAATACCCCCAATGAAAAGTAGGGGTGCCATTGGTACACTAAGAGAAAACACAATAAGTGTCTGGGGCCCAAGACTGTTCAGCTGCCTTCCACCATGCATAAGGAGAATTACCAATAGGCCCCTGGCTGCCTTCAAGAGAGAGCTGGAGATACGTACTTAGTCGGTGCTGGATCAGCTGGGCTGTGGTTCGTGTGTTGGACTACATGCGGCCAGCAATAACAGCCTGGTTGATCAGGCCCTGATCCAACAGGAGGCCTGGTCATGGACCGGGTCACGGGGGGCATTGATCTATGGAATACTCTAGGTAGACTCCAGGTAGCCACCAACCTAGGCACTGCCGTCCACAAACTCCTCTTCGCCACCATAGTTAATTGTCACCTTCGAAAGTGTGGGTCACTTGTTAGTATTAAATTAAAAAATTGGATCCAAAATGCCAATGTCGTAAGTTTGAAACCTTGTAACTCAGAAAAAAGTAAGTCTGGGCCCTACTACATTGGGGCTAAACAAAAAGTAGGACTGCAGAGCAGCAGGGAGGATTTAGGAAGGATAGGGGATGTGTAGACAAAGTATGTGCATTTAAACATACCAGTGAGCAGTATTTGAATAAGGGTAAAGAGCTGTTTGTTGCATACAGTATATGGATTTAGAAAGAGCATATAATAGTGTGGATAGGAAAACTGTGTGACTGACATATGGAATAGGAGATAGCTAAGAGGCTTTATGCAGAGGCTCAGGTTAGGGTATGAAGGAAGGAGGGGACTATTTCCCAGTGACACCAGGACTTGCAGGGATGCTTGATGTCACTGAGTGTTTAATATACTGTATTTACAAATGTGGTTGTAAAAGTGAATGCTAAGGTGATAGGAAAGAGTGCGAGATTAAAAGATACAAAGTGGGAGTTATCACAGTTGTTGCTCTTAGCTGATGACAGTTCTTTTGGGGGATTCTGAAGCTATGTTAGAAAGACTGGACAAATTTGGGTTGCTATGTAAAAGAAGGAAATTAAATGAATGTAGAAAAGAGCAAGGTTATGAGAGCAACAGCCTATTAAATTGGAGGAAGCAAGTATGGAGGAAGTGGATGTATTCAGATATTTGGTAGTGGAAATGTCAGCAGATGGGAGTATGATAGATTAAGTGAACCATAGAATAGGGAGGGGGAGGGAGGGGGGTGGCATGTTGAGGCATCATTGGAAAGTAGTTTGTATGGGGGCAAAAAAAAAAAAAAAAAAAAAAAGGGGGGGGGGGAATGTACCAGAGTGTAGGAAACATTCATTATCACTCCTTCAGTAACTGTCTTGCCATGTGTGCATAAGCCTCACAGTTCATGATTATCACAAGTACTGTATTATTTAGTAGTACCTGTAGTAGTAATTACAGTCTGTACAGTATTAATACTTTATAATGTCTTCTCTTGCCTCAGGATACACTGGAGGACAAGATCCATAAGTTCCTTTACAATGGTGATGATCGCAACATTGTTCAGGTATATGTGGCTGGCCGGTGTGTCATCAACAACAAAAACTGTACGTGAAATAACATTAGCTGTCTATTGAGCCATTCACAATGGCTCTGCTGTAGACCTTAAATGTACTGTAGATTTTCTTAAGATTTAAGAGCTTCAGACCTGTCTGACATCCTTTGAATCATTAATAGATATTGTTAATTATTATTACCAGACAATGCTGTATTTTCTGTGTTTCTTTTACTGGTATCTGCATTTATTTCATAAATTACACTTACCATCTGACTTTTATTTTATGCATAGTATAATGTGTAAATTATTAAGGAATTTGTTGCCATTGGAAATCTTTTAAAAAGGCAACTTCAGTCATGGCATTTCTCAGTTTATCCTTGGATTATTATTGCTGTATATTGAAGGGAAAGTGCTGGACCCTTAAGTCATAAAGCACCCAGAGAATGAGGAAGTCAAAAGGTTATCCAGTATGATCCAAGGAAGAGAAGGGTATCTCCAATTCCTTGGATTAAAAGCCCTTCAGTGTATTCCAGGCACTCCCTAGGATACCTAACTAACTGGCCAAGACAGGCAAATATTGAATAATAGTTTACTCCAACTTATTTTATTGTGATATTCACAACAATGCACCTAATTCTTTGGGCAGTGACAGATTAATGCCTACCTTACATGATATAATTATATTCATGGGAAAGCACTAAACCCATAAGAGTTGTACAGTGCCTGGGGAATAGGACTACCCTTTCCTTTGGATCAAAAGGAAGAGTAACCCCCAATTCCTTAGATAAAGAGTTCTTCACCAGTATCATCTTGAAGGACTTTAGAAAGAAAAACTTTTTTTTTTTTTTTTTTTTTTTAAATAAAACCAGCTGAGAAAATATGATTTATTTTATGAATTTCAATACAAAGTTATCTATAAATTTATTTCAAATATGGCATCACAGATTTAACATACAGAATCGATGTGCAGAGGAGCTGAAATAGTGTAACTAGCCTTCTCCAAGGGCTCCTTAGCCAAGGAATTGGAGTCTCCCTTCTCAGGATCAAACCTGCTTGCCTCCTATTTGGTAAATGGCCACAGATGCAACTGTGGTAATGAAAATAACCCTCGAAGCTATAATCTAGGTGAAGTAGAGCTTGGTCATACAGAATGTGAAAAAGACTTGGGAGTCATGGTAAGCAGAAATCTAAAGCCAAGACAGCAGTGCCTCAGTGTGCGCAACAAGGCCAACAGATTACTTGGATTTATCTCAAGAAGTATAAGTAACAGAAGTCCAAAAGTTATTTTACAGCTCTATACATCACTAGTGAGGCCTCATTTGGATTATGCTGCTCAGTTTTGGTCCCCTTACTACAGGATGGACATAGACTCATTAGAGAACATACAGAGAAGAATGACTAAAATGATTTACTGTGTAAGGAACCTCCCGTATGAAGATAGACTTAAAGCCTTAAATCTCCACTCTCTGGAGAGGCGTAGAATGAGGGGAGATATCATTGAAGTGTATAAGTGGATGACGGGCATAAACAAGGGAGACATTAATAAAGTACTGAGGGTGTCGAACCAGGTAAGAACCAGGAATAATGGATTTAAGTTGGATAAATTTAGATTTAGAAAGGACATAGGTAAGTACTGGTTTTCTAACAGAGTTGTAGATGCGTGGAACAGTGTTCCCAGTGGGGTGATAGAGGCTAGGACCTTGGGTAGCTTTAAGAAGAGACTGGACAAATATATGAGTGGGAGGGGCTGGGTTTGATTGGTGTTGGGGGGTGCGGGAGTTGTTTCTTGAGTAGCTTTAGGTAGATGTCGTTTTGATAAGGACCTGCCTCGTATGGGCCAGTAGGCCTTCTGCAGTGTTCCTACATTCTTATGTTCTTATTGTGACATTTTATTGTGGCAGTGTTAAGCTCTCCAGGAGCTTTGTTTTGAGAGTGAAACTTTGCCACAGTAAAATGTCACATTAGTTGCATTTGTGTCCATTTACCTAACATTTTGTTGGGAATTCTACCATTATTACTACTTCCTATTTTCCAGGTGCTGTATGACCCCTGTGGGTTTAGTGTTTCTCTGACTAACAATCTTTTCTAAGCTAGTTGAGTATTTCCCCTACAATAACAGCAGCATTTGTACAAACACCTTGGTTGGAGTCATCCAAGTGCTACTGTATCAGCTCATGGGGAGCTCAACCCCTACAAGTAATAATGTGCATGGTGAATGGGAGTTAATCTGGGTTGATCCAAAAAAGGGAAGGGTAGCTTCATTTCTTCAGTAATGAACCCTTTACTAAAATAAAGGTGCTCCTTTAAGGGTTGTTCTTTTATTCAAACTGAACATATTACCTGCATAAAATTCAGAGATTAGTTGCCAAAAAAAATAAAAACCTTGCATAACAACGGTTCACGACGGACTGAAACATTATATAGTTTCTTCCAAAATGTGAGAAAGTTATGTTGTTCTAGCAATGGTTTTGTGACTGGTTCTTAGAAAAGTATTGAATGTGAGACTACTGAACAATGCATGCAATTTTTTTTTCATTTAGAGTAAAAGAAATGATATTCTTATTGCTCCTTCACCACTGTTCTAAGAGTTTATATGTCAGATTCAACATTTTATCTTGTTAAATATGCACAAGTTAAGCTTATTTTGAATTGAAATGTCAGAATAGCTACTGCTAAAGTATATGTATATTCAGATATTGCCTACATAAAATGTTAGTGTATAAACAATATTCCAATTAATATATTGCCAATCTTTGATTTTTCATAATGCATGACTATTTGAACATTGCCATTACTTAACTCTAGACATTTCTTGACATTTTCTATACTTTCGATTAACTTTTACATCTTGCAGATATTTTAGCCTATTTCCTACTTTTCATATGGTGTGGTACTGACCAGGAAAGGATAGAAAAATAATACTGTATAGGGAAAAAGGAGTCGTGAAAACAGTGACCTAGTTTTTTTCCAATATGGTTGACTCCTATAAAGCAAAAATTGTGTTTCGTAATTTGTGGGATCATCAAACTGCTTTCTGGCCTCAAAACAGAAAAAAAACACAAAACAATGAAAACGTTAAAACAGGAAATTAAAGGTATGTATATTTTTTTGTGAATTAAGTAAGAATTTGAAGTTCTACAACTTTATAAAAAAAAATGAAAAAATTTTGACATTGACTTTGGTTTCCGGGATCACTTAAAATTCCCCTCAAACCTTTTTAAATTAAACCCAAAGAAATAAAACTCTGTAAAACTTTATTTTGCACCCAACCTAGATGGAAATCAACCTCAAAAAAATTTTTACAAGACTTTTAAATTTGGTTATTTAAAAAGGGCGAAGGGGTTACTAACCCCTTTCCCAACATTTTAGTTGCCTTTAGGACAACAGGGTTTGGGTTGTGTTTTAAATACATTAGGCAAAAATATATATTTTTCATTGTTTTTAAACTTAAAATTCAAATTAATACTAGCTACAAAGAGGTTATGAACATCATGGGTAAAGTATTTTAAAAACAAAAGTCTGAAAGGGAATTACAGATTTTTTTTCTTTTCCCCTTAAAATCGTACAAAAAAGTTAACTCCCTTGGTGATCTGTTATTGTATAAAAAAAATTTTAAATTTGCATAAAATAAACATTTTCTGTAAGTTAACCCGAGAAATATATAGCAAAATATGCGGGGATGGTAACCTATTATTTTATATTGTACAGTATTTAAAACTAGTAGGAGACTCCCCCCAAAAAAATTTTTTAAGAAAAATACGTAAAACCCTTTGGGTTTCAAAGACAATGTGAGGAACAATGCCGGGTTTAAGAAGGGGAGAAAAATGCAGAACAAAAAAAAAGGGGGGGAAAAAAAAAAAAACAGGGGGGCACAGAAAAAAAGTCAGGGAAAACAATATGATCACTTTTAAAATAAGTTTCATTAGTTACCCTGTTAATGCCGGAAAATTCCCCAAAGGAACAGTGATCCCTGAATATTTACTACGAACAAATATGGGAAAAAGGAAAAATATGGTGACAGAATCAGAAACAGCAAAGGCATTAGTTTTTGAAAATGGCAATGTTGCAGATTAAAAAGGAGATAGGGAACACCCTTAGGAAGCCATAAAACTAGGATTTTCAACACTACAAAGAGGGGGGAGAAATGAAAAAAAATGGAAAAATATTGCAATACCAAATTTAAAAAAAAACAGGGAAAAATGCAAAGAATAGACCAAAAATGAAGTAAGATTTTATGGGGAAATGTTTCATAAGTAGAGCCTTCATAAAACTGACATGAACAAAAAATTATCAACTAAAACTTGCTCTCCCATCTTTTCATTAAACAACAGTATGCCTTTTTAAAAAGGGAAAAGCCTAATGCACCGCAACCTCCATATACATTTGGTTAAGTGACAAAAAAAATTAATAATGGGAAACTACTTGAAGAGTAAAGGCTAAACAGTAGGGGTTTTCAGAAGGAAAACATTCTTTTCCTACTTTGGAGTTGATTGGATGAAAATACAGGTTGGGGCAAGCTACTCTGTGTTACTAGATTGTCAAAAGCTTTTAATAATGGCATCACGATTTCTAAATAACAAATTGATAAACGGGGGGATATCAGAAGGGAATTTTTTTATTTTTTAAAAGTGCTGTACCCAAAAAAATGGAAAGCAGTCATGTGATAGATTCAAAAAGAAAGAATAAAATGAAATTTTTTCCAAGGTTAATTTCCCTGGAGCCCAAACTTCTTCATTTAAAACTAAGATCAATTTCTATATCTTAATATTTTCAGAATAAATGAAAAATGGAAAATTCCAAAGGGGATTTATCTAAGTGGTTACTAAAATTTAAACATTAAAAAAAAAAAATGCCCCAATTGAAAGGGGGGGAGAAGAAAAAGGGAAAGAAAGTGGCTATTATTGCCAAAAAGGGAAGGCCCTGGGGTGGCAAAAGTACGAATAGTCACTGACTTTTGCATAAAGATATCAAAATTAAGATTTCTTCCCATAAAAGGCAAAATAAAAAGGCACAGCCTACAAGCTAAAAAAGTGAGCTGCCAGAAGGATA